GAAAAAATAATCAACCGATTAATCGATTATTAAAATAAATCATTAGTTGCAGCCCTAATATGCAGGATAGCGGCACTCGAGGACAAGATTGCCAGCCCCTCCCTGTTTTAGAGCCATCATGGCTTTCTACACCATGGTAATTTGCCTAACTGTGAGCTTTGCTTATATTTTAGGTGAATGAAGAAGAATCAGATTTGAGCTGTGCCAATAGAACCAAGTCTGATGGTGATCAGATTTCTTCAGAAGATGAGGCAGTAGTTAAACCTCAGCAACCCACCAGGTGAAAAATTAAAGTTCTCACCAACAAATAGACAATATTTTCCTATATTTTCTAATATTTTCCTAATTGCTCCCTTTTGCTATATATTTTTTTGCGTGTGTGTTTTGGAAGATATGGCAGAGTCCCCAAACCCATCCAGCCTTTGACCTATTCTTCCAAAGAGGTTCCGCATGCCTCTGATTCTGAAACTACACCTGCAAAATCTAAACGTGTTGTAAAGAGAAGAAAATCAGCAACGCTACAATCCACCCAGAAGTTAAAAAAACCCAAACTGGTCACGATCAGGTCTTCCAAAACAGACTTCAGTGATGATGAGAGTGAAAATGAATTTGAGGATAGACGGGAAGATGGGTGCAGCTCCAGCAGAGATGCTGAAGCCTGTATGTTTGCACCTTCCAGTCTGCACCCCACAAATACTGTGGTCTCTGAAGTGGATGAGACCATGGTAGAGGTTAGTAGAACCATTAGTTTCTTTATTATTTTCTGTACAGATACACACCATTTTATTTATTTTTTAAATATTTCTGTTAGCCAACATTTTTTGTTTGACATTATTGTTTCTTTATGCATGGTTTTACATTTCATGTTTCAAACCCTCCACTCTCAACCCCTCTCATTCCACACTTAGCTTGATATTTTGGACAGTATGCCTGATGTGCTGGGCATCCAAGATGCACTGGGCCCTGATTCCTCTTATGACAACGTGCAACATGAGACAGGCACTGCTGAGCTGTGTGAACATCAGTTGGACCTGCTGGTTGTAAGTGGCAAACGATTGAAACATATAGTTTAAATGTAGCTCTGGTTCCCAGGTACATCTAAAATGGAATTATTTTTTGCTGAAAGTCATTCAGGACATGGCAAATCACCCTTCAAAATAATAAAGAAACCAAACAGCCTAACTTGTGTTTTGTGATTGAGACATTTCCCTTCTCATCAGTAAAGCTTTTTCAGTTCAAAACAGAGTATGGCGTTTCAAGCTTTAACCAGCATGACATGCTGTGTTGTTCGGCTTGGATTTACATGTAGATTAAACTCACTCCCCTCACATGGGTCTGAGTGGTGTTCCTTCTTTGTGTATTTTTGAAAAGTCTATATCAGGGCTAATCAATTGGCAGACTGTGGGCTGATTATTTCAGTTTGACTTGACT